TAACTTCTCTAGTTTCTTACATTTCATTCAGGACTCCTGCTACTTTCGAAAATTGTATCTTAGTTTTCTTATTCCAATTTGCAGTTTATTGTTTCTCCTTCCCTATACACGGGACACGTGCCTATGAAGGGACTTCTGGAGGGTCCATATAAATATCTGAAGAATGTGTGCATGACAGCATTCCGAGGATCCAGAGGCCAGCTTGAATTTCTTTTGCACATCGTGGGAAATGCCCCTGCTTTGGTATTTTTACTATTGACCATTCGTATAAACAGGTGAAGCGTGTGTGGAAAGATCCCGCAAAGGAAGCGAAATTCGTGGATTCGGCTCATCGAACCGCTAGAAGATATCTCGAAGGAAAAATCTCTCCCAAGTGCTCTGTAAGATTGCTTTAAGCAGGGTTTAAGTGAGATACACCGCGATTGATCTTGCAAATGTAGCGTTATGGTAGTGTACATAATCTGTGATAGCTGCTTCCACTAATTATTATGACCGGTGATTGTTTAGGCCCCCTCCCACTGAAAATGCACCGCCTTTTTGATTTGGTTAGCTATGGTCAACAATTACACTATTAGTATCTGACTTTTGTGATACAAAATCACTGCCACAAATAGGTTCTTCCAAATATGATCTAATGACACCAGTTTTGTGTCACATATAAAAGCTATACTAATAGAGTAATTGTTGGTCAGAAACCTAATATACGGCGTATTTCAAAACTCATGCAATGTATGAAAGTAACATACTAACATCTTCTTCTATTACAGAAAACATCCATCATCCTTGTTCAGGTGTCTGTTAATTATAGCTGGTGTGGTCCTCATGCACCATCCATTTCGTTGTTTCCGGCTCACCCGCTGAAACCATATGAGTGTGATTAAACAACTAGCGTGAAAGCAGTTGCGCATTAGCGCATCCGTTTTCTTGCTCTATCTTCCACTGATGTGGCTCATTAAACTGTCAGTTTTTTTTTTTGAAAAGGAGGTCACCCCCGGCCTCTGCCATCGGATAGATGCATGCAGCCATATTATTAATCAGGTCCAAGAAAAAACATAGTCTGTAATCCAGGTACAGCTCAGAAAAGGAGCACAAATAACAAAGGCTAATCAAATAAATCAAAGCCACAAACGGCTGGATGAGACAACATTAAATATACTGTCAGTTATATACCACAAAGAGAACATATATAAGTAATGGTACGAAATAATTGTCTGGTAAGAAATTCTTCCTAGAGTAGGAAGAGTGGCACAAATGATCATGAAGCAATCGGGAAAAAAACCTATGGTGAGATAGCATGATCTTATCGTACAAAAAAAGAGGCAGCATGGTACACGTACCAACTAGGATTTCCCAAAACTAAGTCGTTTAACATGGAACATGGAGTTTTGGATCCCGTGTGCACATGCATTCGGGTGAACAGTAAATTAAGAAAAACAATAAAATTCAAAATCTGAACTTTTTTGGCAAATGTTGCTGAGTATTTCACGCGTGTGCAATGTTTCATGAAGAAAAAAATTGTAATGCTATGGGGAAATAATCTGTTTTTTCTTTCTAGTATTCCACGGATGCCAGCCATTCCATAACAAAAACATTTTATAATTAAGTTCCATTTTTTGTTTTCCAAATTAATCGCTTAAATTTGGGACTTATATTTTGATGTGGAACAACAAGCATGGACAACAAGTTATTCCAAACTTGGGGTCACCGAATTCTAACCGCAAAGGATTTGGGCTACAAACAACACTTTGATTAAAGACAACTAATTTTGAAGTGTGTCAAACGAGTATACCATAATAATTAAGCATCACTTGAAAAATAATGGTCTGACAGATGTTTGCTGTAATCTTAGTTCTTTTTTTCTCAAATAACTCATTTTGAACAACTAAACAAAATACCTAACATGGTTTGTGCATGCCTGAGGCGGTTACATGATTTGTTTCTCTCCTTCTATACAACCGTAGGATGAAGTGGGGGCACGGATGGGAGCATGAGGAGGGAGCAGGCAAGCCGGATCCCTATACAATTACATGATTTGTTTCTTTCCTTCTACACAAATTCTTTCCATCTAAACTCATGACAGAAAATGGCAAGTAATGATGTGTCAAAGATATAAATAGCCTTGAGTAGGTCAGTCTTACCTCTTACCCTCAACAAGTTAATAGATCACCCTAGTCATTAGCCCATTTCATCTATAGCGTTTCTACTCCTCCAATCCCCTCTCCAGCCCCCATCCTTTCATTCCTTTAGACGGGTAGGAATTAACCATATATCAGACCGGCACCGTCTTTGCGGCCACTTTGGACCCATAGCGAAGAAGCGGATGGAGGCCAAAGGCGGGTGTTTGGACGACATCGTGAAGGAGGCCAGGCGCAGGCGCAGGGAGAAGGCCAGGCGAAGGGAAGAAGAGGCAGAGAGGAAGCATTTTACTTATCGCATCGAAGAGATGGAGGAGAGTGAGGAGTACGACACAGTTACAAAGCAGTTGCCGCGGCCAAGTATCATCAAGTATCATGATTTCTTGGAGAAATTATGGGGATGGGACAGACTGCTACACAAAGGTAATAATGTGTTGTGGTCTGACTATAGCGCCTACCTTGAAGAGTATCACCGCCGCAATGTTGCCGTAGTTAGAAGGCTAGCCGCTCTCTCCGAGGCTTGTCTCGTCAAGGAGGAGCAACTCGTGTCCGAGTGGAAGAAGATCTGGATGAAATCTTGGGAGGAGATGGTCTTGCCGATGAGGAAATCGATCGTTCTGAGCTGCCTGATCCACCAGCGTGCACGTTCAGTCATCGTCCGCGCATATCTCGGTGCAGTCTTGGATGGTGCTTCAAGGTTCAGAAAATCCACTCTCCGGGATGATGTTTCCGGTGCCGCCTTGTTGTGCATTGCCAAGGAGGATGACCTGACGTGTGAGTTGCTGAGGCGTGGCACTGATCCCACTGATGATTACTTGGTCGACCAGGGCATAGAGATACGCATGTGTGCCTTGTGCCTTATGAACCGGCATACTTCGGTCAATTTCGTTGCTGCCACCGCTGCCATGCTGGGTATGGCAAGGGAGGCCGAAATGATGTGCGCGTGGATGAGTAAAAATAACAAGCCTATTGATTTCTATGATGATCTCATACCTGATGAGATAATGGACAGCCGCAGGATCCGGTACTATACCTTTAATTTTATGATTGAGATACTAGAAGAATCTTCTGTTGTTGCTGCTGTTGGGCACAAGATTGATAGGGAAGAACCTCCCAATAGAAATGGTGCTGGTGGTGATGGGGATGGCATTCCTGCTGATGGAGCAGCAAACAGCACAGGGGGTGGCACTAATTCAGATGCATTGAATTCTCAGTCTAAGAAAAATATTGAAGGTGGTGAAAAGAGTAAGAGGAAAGAAGAAAGTCTTTTGGAGAAGCTATGGGGGTGGGAAAGGCTGCTGCCACTGCACGGTTCCGTTAAGTGGTCCGACTATCGCAGCTATCTTGAAGAGTATCATGATGATTCACAAATTTCCACTTGTGCTGAGATGTGTGCTGCTGTTGTCAGATTTTGTCTCGAGATGGAGGAGGAGCTCCAGTCCAAATGGAAGATTCGGGTGCGACTTAGCACGGCCGACACCTTACCAGTCAGCACTATCATTCAGAGCAGCCTTATCAAGAAGTTTGCACTTTCGATCTGCGGCAGAGGGGGTGAAATTGGTGTTCCTTCTGCCGTTGCTTTTGTGTGTATCGCCAAGGAGGCCGAACTGATGTGTGAGCTGCTGAACCATGGCGCTAAGCCTTCTGATGACATCGTCCAGCAGAGCAGCGTGATTCGCGTGTGCGCCTTGGGCCTTGTGAACCACCTCAGAGGACACCAACCTGCCGCTCTTGTTGCTGCAATGGTGGGTATGGCAAATGAGGCCACAAAGATGTGTGATTGGATGAAGAGAGAGAGCAAGCTTGTCACCTTCAGCTTGTCCGGGCCTTGTGAGCTTGAGGAGTGCCGCTTGATCCGGATCAAGGCCTTGGATGTGATGACCAGCATATTGCATGAGCATTCATTTCCTTCTTCCAAGATGCGGAATGATGCGATGGCATATGAATAAGCCATACATTTTGAAGTTTCTTTCACCTGGAACACTATATAGTTCTTGTTTAAGTAAATAAATTTTGTATGCTTCAGAAATCTGCCTTTGGCCTACTACTGCTTGGGTTATGCGTGTCAATCAAATTATACATCTACTACAAAAAAAACAAATCAATGCCAAAACATACGCTCATGTTTCGTAAGTCGTAACACAGATACAGCCAACCAGAACACTCAAATTGCCCATCTTACGTGTTGTATGCTCACATTTGTAGCAGGTAACTTCATTTTGTAAGACAACACCTTTAATTTTGATGTTCTGTTTCCTTTTCTTTCTTTATTTCCCTTTTTTTTGTTAGACACTTGTCTAGTTTCTTCCTTTGTTTAATGCAGTAGCAGAACTCCCGCTCAACTTTCAAAATATCTGGGGAATGTGTGCATCATAGTGTGGTGACAGCATTCCATGGATCCAAAGGCTAGCTTGAATTTCTTTATGCGTAGTGGAAAATGTCCTTCCGTTTTGGTTCATCGACCTGCTAGAAGATCCAAAACAAGATCTCTTCTAAGTGCAGAGTAGCAAGGTATATTTACATGACTAGGCTCGGTTTATAGTTGTTAAGTTGTGATAACCACTAGATTAGAAAAGAAGTTGGTTAATCAGATGGTAAAATAGATCTTGAAAATTTAGTTAGGAAATCTAGATTGGCATACGTCGCGGAGCCTGTTCACAAGCCGGTGGGAGTCAAGCATTTGCGGTTACTGCATGACCGTAAGCAGGACGAGATAAAAAGATATCTTCCCTACGTCCCAAACACGTGAAATGAAGAGAACCATCACACCATACATGATAATGATACACACAAAATGTACTATTACCCAGGAGGAAAATTGCTGGCTTAACTTTGTTCCAACCTGTCATCACCTTTAATTTTGCAAGACATACGTATAAGCCTGGCAAGCGGTTTTTGTGTGCTCAACGGAATAGAGGTAACAAAGATAAATCAGCAATAATCAAAGGCCACATAATGCAAGTTCTGTAACCATGGCATTTAAAGAATCGTGTTTGTGTACTATCATGGTACGACATGCTAGATGTTCTAAGTTTAGTCCTTAATAACTGATGCAATGATCAACCCTTCTCTTATAAAAATAATCTTGAACTTACAAGCATCTAGACTATGTAAAATCTGCAGACTATACTTCTCAGCCTGGTATGTATACTCTGGCAGTGGGCACATGAATGAAAATGATGTACTATGTATTATAGAATAGACTCACTGTACCGGAACTTGAATTCCCAATGTCTGGTGCAATTTAATAATGTAATAGTACTAGTTAGGAAAGATGTTGGAGAAGTGAAAGATGCATTAGTGAAACTCCCAGTCAACTGTCAAAAATTGTGTCTTAGGTTTCATATCCGAGCTTGTAGTTTATCCTTTCCTATACACATGATTCAAGATTATCAGGGCATGTACAGTGGTTGATAAGACAGTCTTATCTTAAGCCTTGCAGGTAGTTTAAAGATCACAATAAAAGTATAACTACAATGGGTTATCTCTTAGCATTATCTTTAATAACTAGCTATTCCTAAAAACATGGTGAGACATATTGTTGTTAAGAGATCATCTCTTAAATAATAGAAGACAAACATTTTCTTATGATTTATCTCTCCTTCACCTCAACGTTTATCCTACATGGCACTCCTAAGCTAACACCATTGTACATGCCCTCATAAGACTCTAGAACGCCCATGTATATATTTGGAGAATGTGTTCATGACCACATTCCATAGTTCTCGGGGCACCTGCAATTTTCTTTAACATTCTGAAGAAATGCCATGTCCTTGCGTCATCGACTCGCTAGAAGACTCCAAAATATGATCTCTTCCAAGTGCTCTGAGGTTACTTTAAGCGAAGTATAAGCAAGATATATATTTAACGGTGAAACTCGGTTTGCATGTGCTAAATGGTGTTGTACTGACCTATTTTACAATATACTATAGACAAATAGGAAATAAAAAGGTGGTTAAGAAAATTGTAAACCAGATTTAAAAGTAGTAAGAAAAGTTGAATCCAACTTTATTCATGTACATGTAGACCTCGTAGAGTTCATATTACGATAGACGTTATATAAAAGGAATATTATCTATGATAAAACTTCTACTTATTATTATAGTATCTGATGTTTATGCATGTCACACATGTATCTACTAAATTATTATTTTGATAGATTAACTACAACACCGAAAATTATAATTGTTTGAAATAAATAACAATAGTTAAGCAATTATCATTTTTCATACTTTCAGTACTATAGTACGTTTAATGGTAACGTTTCGGTTGTATATATATTGGATTTATCAACGTTGTGGTGTCATGAACTACAATAAGAGAAAAACGGTTAAGATAATTTAATATGAAAAATATGACTGAAAATAATATTACAATTTAGAGACAAAATTAGTCATAGGAGATAAAAAAAGTTTAGTATTAAATAAAAAGGCATTTAAATGACATGCCTAAATGTTATTTATTATTTTTTATAATTTTTGTACATTTAAACTATATTTAATTCAATAAGGTTTTAATCCAAAATTCAAAAGTATAATACAAAAATGACCTTCAATAAAATTTGTTTAATAAAACTCAAAGACGATATGTCAAAGTTATCTGATCGGGAAAAGAGTATGTCCATCTTTGGACCAATGGTGAGAAAAAAAGGTTTACACGGTGCTCCCAAGGAATTCAGAGTCGTTTACGTTCGATGAATGATATATTGTGCCGCTCATAATTTAATTAGGAAGGTTGCATTTATCGTATGTATGTAAGACTTGGTTTCATGTCACATAGGATTATAAAGGATATGTTGAACTCAGATTTGCCCCAAAACTCTGAATAAATGACAATCAATTCCAGTTTTCAAAAAAATATCATTGAAGATTATTTGATTGAAAATGTAAATGAAAATAATGTTTACAATTTAGACAATAGCACCATAATTTCTTACACTAATTGAGACTTTGGAATGATATAGGGCTTCTAAAGGTCATATGCATACGTTGCACATCATGATGTGTTTCGATGTCAGGGAGGAGAAAAATTATGTATGTGGTCCATTATGTTGAAGTTGTTGTTGGCGAGCACGGTACATAATGTAGTGGATGATGAAAGCGAAAAACACTAATGAGTCGGTGGCGACGGAGGGCACCGTCGACGACGGGGAGGAGAAAACTATGTATGCAGTCCATTATGTTGAAGTTGTTGCCAGCGAGCACGGTAAACAATGTTGTGCATGATGAAGGCGAGAAACACGGGACGTGTCGGTGGTGACGCTGGTGCCTTTAGGTCCGTATCAGGCGGAAGGAAGCGGTTGAGTGTGTGGATGAGCTGACGGAGGAGGCACACCAAGAAGCAGTCGTGTTAGCCCGTGGAGAGCCAATCCATCTTCCGATAGCGGATGAAGTGGAGCCACACATTAAAACCAAAGGATCCATGGCAATTTTGAAATGTGAGGTCGAATTGGAGAAGATCATTTATCTGATAATGGATAAAGTGGAGACATGAAGAGGCACCAAAGGGTCTATGGCGATTTAGAATGGGGGCTTGAATTAGAGAATTTGTAGGAAAATGGTGATTTGGGGAGAGGAGGCGGTTACAACACCAATAATTTCATTGAGATTCAAGCACCATGCACTACACAAAGATATCATTCCCATGACTTTTTCTCTTTTGGCTACTCGGTCATCTGATTTCTATAAATATGCTTATGGTTTGTGATGAACATATATATTGTCTAATTGTGTTGGACTCTATGGTACTCCATTTTTTCCTAACTGCAGGAGTAATAGTTTCTTAGTTGATACTCCCTCCGATCCAAAATAAGTGTCTGGGTCTTAATAGATTTTGATTTCCATCATGATTTACCTAATATAACTATGGAAATTCCCCGACAACTATGATTGCAGCATGTATTTCCATCTATTGTTTAATAACTCAAAGGGACCTTTCCAAAATAACTCAAAAGGGCAGGCCGAATAATTTTGATTATCTTTGAATGTGAAATACACATGCATGAAAATACATTATGATGATTCCAAATATTTTACACTGCTGTAACTACTATACACTATATATTGAGACAATGATGGGCAAGCCGAACTATCTGTTTAAGTGCCCTCAAATGGGGAACAGGAGCCGAAAAAGTATAACAAGAGATAGAATCTCCCCTCTGCCCCGAACACATGAAATGAACATAACTATCACAACAAAACATAGGTTACACACAAATGGCACTATACTCCAGGTGGAAAATTGCTGACTTGGCCTTGTTCCAACCTGTCCTCGCCGTTCACTTTGTAAGACATCCGGATACGCATTGCAAGCGGTTTCTGCACCAAAATCATAACAGAGGTGACGAAGATAAATCAGCCATCGCAGCAGGGCAGAAACGATAAGTACAAAACATCAAAGAGAAACCAAATAAACTCATTCCGTAATCATGGCATTTCAAGAACCGTGTTCATGTATCAAAAGGTTATTTATCCAGGTGCTACCATAGTATGACGACATGATAAGCAATCTAGAGTCTAGTCTCTGATAACTGATGGAATAATCGACTCTCTTCTTATAATAGCACTATCGAACTCTACAGACAATTCACTTCTCAGCCTGCTATGTACATGCTGTCATGCTGTTAACTGGCACATAAATGGAAATGATGCACTATGCATTATAGGATAGTCTCAGCTGTAAACGGAGCGTAAATTCCCAATGTGGAATGCAATTCAATCTAGTCAGGAAGATGAACCCAAAGTGAAGGATGCAAATCAAACCTGCCCATGCTGATTATTCGTGACACTGAAACCTTGTGTGACTGAACCCTTCCCGTTAGCTGGAACAATGTTACCGCTAGCTGGATCCAGTCGCAATTGAATGAACTGTGGTATCATTTTGGAAAGCATAAGGAACATTCCATCAGTATAAGAAAATATTTCAGCCTTTAGTCAATAAAACAAAGAAA